AAGAACAAAACCAGGAAATGATGCACAGATTGTTGTTAATACAAGATGATTTGTTAAATGAATAATAATACAATATTTTATAAAAATATAAAGGACTTATCCCGTTCCAGGATAAGGATATAGGGCGTATTTAATTTGACGTTACTTGCATATAAACAAAATGGCGACAAACACTGTTGCCAAATCGTTTATATATTTTTTTGACATATGTCAATTAATCTTAACCTAAAATATTGACATGTGTCAGTTTTAACATCCTTCAAAGAGGAAAAGTGGCAACGCTATAACGTACTGCTAACTATTCTGTTTAAATTCTTGCACTCATCCAACACAACTAAAATCCTACATCCTTAATAAAATATAAAAGTAATAAAATATTTATTATCGAATTCACTAAAATAAATATAATAATCACAGATACGATAAACAGATTACATAATAGTATGGGGTAAAAAGTAGATATAGTGGCAGAGTTTATATTTGAGCTTAAAAATTAGACATTAGGCATTACCACTTACAATATCAATAATTAATTGCTAAGTCTATCTATAAAACACTAAAGTACGACTTAGATGTTACTAAAATTCGTATTATTTAAAAAATTAACCAACAGAAACTTTACAGACATATAAGTATTTTTGTACAAATTTACTGGCCGAGAATTAGTTAATTACATTATGACTATCGGTCTGATTACCTATAATACTTTCCTTCAGTAATTTTAAATTTAGATTAATTACATCCTTACAGAACTGATACTCTTGTAATTCAACAAAATCGGATATTATTATATTAACGCCGCTCGGGCCTGGCTTTTGTAGGTTTATCCAGTTGAATTTATATTTGTCCAGTGGTAAAACACATTTTGATTTTAAATTTCCTAAAAAATCATCTTATATTGAAAGCTTCATCATATCGATTTTGATGATATGATTTGAAAATTTTAAAAACTTCTAGACAACGAAAACAATTTCGATTTTTAATACAAAATTAATTCAGGGTTACGTACAACGTACGTATGTCATGAAACCTAGAATTCGATCCGAAAAAGTGGAATTCTAAGGCTGAAGGTCAAAATTATGAATTTGAAATCAAGAATCAGATAATTTATGGGCCATTTTCCTGTGCGTGAATAATAAAAACGAAAAATGAACTCTAATTGGATCTAACAAAAAGAAACTTGGCCAGACCAAAATTTCTCCACTATTTTTCATAAAATATGGAGTAATTTTAAGTAAATTATACCGTCAAAACCAAGAGGTTAAACCGACATATTTTACTATTTCTCCCCCTTCCCTCCTTATATCGAAATGGCCCCAGTTCCCACCTTTAGATCATGTAAGAAAAAATACTTTAAATTACTTAAAAACCGATGTATCAGACGACATGTTGGAACGACATCTTTTTTTTGCGCATCAGGTCCTTAACTACAGGCTCAAACAAAATTTTTTCAAAGATCGTATAAAAACATTAATAATCTCGAAATTGCATGCGAACTTACCTAACAAGTACCTGCAAACGAACCAAACTGTAGGGGTCAAAATGACTTGTGAAACGTATCCATAAGTAGGATTCCTTGTGACTAGTCCCTCGTTTAATTTATCTATTAAGGTTTCAGGACTTAAAGTATTAGGCCAAGGGGTTGGGAAATTTGCCGAAGGCCATAAGTCTGGATGATTATATCTAGCTTCATTCGACCTATAAATAATGATAACCTACAAAACAAACACTTGTCGATAAACTCAACGAAAACTTCTGGACAATTCAAAAGCGTTATTTCATCATACAGGGTGTTCCAGAAATGTTGGTGTAAAAGTACACAATTTTATTCTGTGTAGCAAGACAACTGACTTAAGACAGTGATCATGTTTAATCATACGCTCAATTGTAAAAATAATAAGGTACCGCAGTTTTTGACGTGACAACGTCTTATAATTCGATGGAGCCGGCTGAACGCACGAAAAAACATGACTCATGCGGCGTTACCTCGCTCTGAGGCGTTCCATTTAAGGCTTGAAGTGCAAGCGAGAGCGCGGAACGAGCGACAAAGAGGCACAATCGGCCT